TGCTGTTAATACAACCTCAGCTGCTGCACAAAAGTCAACACTCAGTTGTGATCAATAGAGCTTTTAGCCTAGGATTTCACTCAGGTTAAAATATAGGATCAACCAGAGAGGGATTCAACGGGTCTCAGTACTACATCAGTACTACATCAGTACTACAACACAAATATTTGTTGCGTTAATTTTTTTAAGTGAGTAGTAAAATGTGAAATTATGGGTTTAAAAAAAAAAAAGAACCAACAAACCTACAGCCCTGTTCATTTTCTGGGGGAATCGAACCCCCGTCCTCAGCCTGAGCTCATGTGTCCTGACGTTTATAACCGACACCAGAGGGACAAACAGTTCCAGACCAGGTTGTTTTTCCACTTTTACGCAATCACACAAACTAACCTTCATCCTGAGCAGTTCTTCGATCTTCAATCATCTCCTCACTCTTCCCCCCCAACTCCCCCACTCTCCCACTCCCCCACCCATTCTCTCTAATAACAGGATGTCAGTTTTGACCTTCCAGACCCTGAAAGCGGCAGAGGAAGGTTGGAGAATTCTATTGGCAACATCTGGCTGTGCGAGATCAGTCAAAAAGTTCCAAGACGGATGGAAAAGTTTCAAAAAGTTTCCAGCAGCTCTGACCGGTTTAATCCTGACGTACGTCCATCCATCCATCCATCCATCCATCCGTCCATCCATCCATCTATCCATCCATCCGTCCATCTGTCCATCATCTATTCATCCAACTATTCATCCATCCATCATCCATCCATCCATCTTTGTCAAGTGTTAAATTTCCATCATTTTTCAAACATAAAAAATAAACAGTTTGAAACAGTTTGTTTTCACAGCTCCAGTCAGGACAGATTTTTAATTCCTATTATTTTCTTTTTGTTCCAAATATAATTCCTTGTTTATTTTTAATCAACAAAAATATCAAGCCAGACTTTTCATCCTCCTCTTTTATTTTATTTTATTTATTTATTTGCAAGTATATGCAGGGAGACAGCTGCGTGATTTCATTTTTATATTTTATATATAAAAAAACATGTTTGTTTAATTAGTCCTGGAACTTTTTGACTTCCTCTGGTATCAATACAAATCCTGAATCTGCATTTTGCCGTGGGCCACGAATTATAATTTAAAGATAAAGTGAAGACAGACTGACGGGAACAACCGCCTTAAAGATTCATGTCGAACTGTTCAACAACCCCCAACCCTTCCTACGCCCCCTTCTCCCCTCCTCCCCCACCCCCACCGAGAGGGAAGAGTCTGTGGAGGGAATGCTAGCTCAGCACAGACCCAGCATCCCAGGAAGCATCTGTGTTGACGGAGTTGTTTTTAAAAAAAAAAACAACGACTCTGCAGCTGAACACATGAGGAGACAGCAGTGACTGAAGGGTGAGTGGGTGAGTGGGTGAGGGAGCAGCAGCCCACGGTGGAAACGGCAGATGTTTAAATCATACCTGCACAGTCCTAACTCCACATGACGCTCCGAGAAGAGAGAGCAGGAAATCTGAAAACCTGAGCGTGGCTGGAGGAGGCCACCGAAGGCAGCGTTCCTCAGGTTCTACTGTTGGAGTTGAAGGTCAAAGGTCAACGTGCTACTTTCGGTCGCGTTAGCCCGTGCAGCTACTCGCCTGTAGCCCTGGATAACGCTCCTACTCAGCTTGTTAATATGCGCTGCATATCTAACCCCAACTCAGAGCGACTATCTACAGGATCTGGACTGTTTGTTAGGAAAATGTTAGCATCTGGGATCGCAGCAGGAGCAGGAGCGGATCTGATCCTGAAGATTCTGGTTTCTGTTGGAAGTAGCCATGTCCACGGACCAGCCCACGGGCCAGAGGTCAGAAGTTATGAAGCAAACATTTGGCTTAACATGTTTGTTTTTTAATTACAGAGGTCAGAAGTTATGAAGCAAACATGTTTGTTTTTTAATTGACTGAGGTTATCTGTTTACTTTGGAACAAATGTTTGACCAACCTTTACCTTTTTCAAGGTTTAAGATTTGAATTTCTCCTTCAGTACCTGTTAGCACTGATGCTACATTCTTTAGCAGTTTCTTTATGAGGCTCAAACATGAGCTAAAACACTGCATTTTTGCAAACTTTTAGTAATTTATTAGCCATCTTCTGTAGATATATCCTTAGCTAACTTGTAGCATTTATGCTAAATTTCTAGTAATATTAAATTTTGTTTATTGAGGCAATTTGTTTGTACTGTATCAATTTCATTGTCAACTATTAGCTGAATTCACTGTATTTTTGCTAACTTTTAGACATTTTAAAGCCATCATTAGAACTAGTTTTTGGGTTGATCTGTTAGCTAGATACATATTTGGTTGCATTTATTCTACTTTTTTTTAGATGTTTTACTTATATATTCTTGTGGTCGGGGGGTTATTATAACTTTAGCTGAAACTTTTAACAGCGATCCCCAACCTTTTTTGTATGTACCAAATGGACTACGGACCGGCACCAGTCCTCAGACCAGAGGTTGGGAACCCCCCGAGCTACAAGAAGTTGAATTGGCTGTATTTTCCAAACTCTTATTTATTTGAAACCCAAATTAAAAATATCACGTTATCTAACATTGATATCACATGTTTAAGCTGTTTCTGTGATTGGATTTGGGTTTTACTATTAGCTTCATTTGTTGTGTTTTTTTCAAACAAACATATATGAATATCGTCTTAGCTACGTTGAATCCTTTATAACATTTTGTTACAGCAGACTCCATCTGTTCGTCACTTCATTCCCCCCTCCCATTTCCCGAACCTCCGTCCCAGAAAAAAATTCCTGTTTCCACCAAAGGTATGACATTCAGGAATTAAACAGTGAAATCCACATGTGCAGCAGTTGGACTCACATCACTCTGAGGTACAGTGGGTGGTGAGTGTGGCATCACTTTCTCAAAACCCACTTATTTCCATATCCCACTGACCGGCCAGGAGCGAGTGACCACACAGAAGGGTTTCATTTGAAAATGTCCACCTCTCAGGATAACTCTTAGTCAGTGTGCGACTACAAACAAAGCTCTGTGTTCAAAGAGGAGACATCAGTGCCAGAAAGTCCTGCACTCCAAGCTCTGGTCTGTGGTCCGCCACGGACCAGAGCTCTGCCATGAAGCCGCACTTGACGAGCCAGAGTGGAGCGAGGCAAAAGACAGGCGTTACTAATGCCAGGAGCACACCCAGGGCAGAGTGGTGGGTGGTGAGCCGCGCAGTGATGGCCGTGTGTGTGTGTGTGTGTGTTCAATATTACCCAGAAAACACTCACTCAGCTCAGGCTGAATGAGTCTTTATGTCCTGCTCCGAGTCGGAGGCGTGTCGGTGTGGGAGCGTTCAAAGATAACATGACAGACCTACCTGAGGAGCAGCGGTCGGCCGCGGCCGGGTGTACACATCGGGGTGGAGGCGATGATGTCACGGACGGTTGGAGCTCAGTGATGGGCTGCGGAGCAAAGAGAGGTTTTGTCAAATGTTGCAGTTGATTCAGTGCCACTGTTTCACGCACGCAGGGGCAGTGCATGATGGGTAAAGAACAGCTCACGACGTTACATCGGAGGCAGGCAGAGCACAGAGACTTCAACCAATGAACCTCCACTTCTGTCTTCACAGATATGGAGGAAGTCATCGGAGGAAATACACACCACAGAACACACCACACCCCCGCAAATTGAAATACTATTGATAACATGTATATTTCTATCTGTACAAACCACTGTATGAGTTGCTGCCACCTAGTGACTGGAGGCTTGTTGTCATTCAATCATAACAGCAGTGGTACACTGATGACCAGTGTGCTATATTCTATTGGCAGCCACTCACCCCCCACCCCCGCCCCCCCGCCCCCCCACGCCCCCCCCCCCCCCCCCATGAGAGAACCTCCCAACCC